TTCCTCAGGACTGCGTGGTCTGACCTGAGCGGTGCTGTCCTCTGTGTCCTTAGGTGTGTGCTAACATCATCGAGTACTGCCAAACTCTGCTGCATCAGAGCTCCGACCAGGCCCAGTTCAGCATCTGCCTCTTCAGCCCGTCGGGCAGCGAGCCAGCTGGCAGGGACGGAGGTCGCGCAGGTCGGTGACGCTGCCAATACCAAGGACAATGCTCGTCTGTTTAAGAATTGTTCCTTAAACAAAACATAACCTGTTAATAATCAATTTCCGAGCTGATAAGTAACATTTCCTTTTTAGCTTTTTACCACAAATTGGCATTTCAAGTATGAGACTGAACCACGGCTCTGCTTTTCTTTTAAGATCTGTCCTCCACTCTGCCGTCAATGGCTTACTCCCGGGCCCCCAGCCTGGGTCTGGTCCTGTACCTGCTGAAGAACAGCACTGCAGATTTCTTCCGGTTCCACCAGAGTCACAGACAAAGCCTGGGCAAGCTGCAGACCCTGGATCAGCTGCCTCCTGAGGAGCTCAAGGAGGTAATGACGGACCGATACACTCGCCACACCGCTGTACATTATAGGTACATTTTTGAAGTGGAGGCAAAAAAAAGCCTGCATTTTCCAGAGTTGTAACCACAGGCGTCTTTCTGTAGTTGTGCCAAGGCCTGGTGTTGGGCCCAGGAGGGGTGGAGAAAATCTCATCCGTCCAGAGGAGCTTACTGGCCAAGAGACGACTGGTCCAGCTGATCAACAACCGAGCCAAGCTGCTATCCCTGTGCTCCTGTATCCTTTGGCCTTTGGAGGCACAGCGTTAGTCACAGGACTCGCCTATCGTCCATCAGTATTCAGTTCCATTTATTTTGCCTCAGAGGGCTTTACAGTCTGTAGACATGCAACATCATCTGTCCCAGAACCATCACATTGACATGAGAGGAAACTCCAAAAAAACGGGGATGAAAATCTTTTCAACTTTATTTTTTTTTAACCTTAACCTGCCTCTGCCTCAGACGTCATAGAGACCTGTTTGTTTGTGTTGTGGCGCCACCTGGAGTACTACCTGTTGCACTGCACTCCCACCGACCCCAAAGACTCCCTGATGCCCGGAGCCAGTTTGTATAGGTCTCGCCTCACAGACGGTGAGAAAAAAATGCCACAGACGTGTGCACATGTAAAGCGGCCGTCACACAATGAGCAGAAAGCTCTCACGCAAAGCTTCGTGCACTTCATTAATTTTTCTTTTTCAGACTCGTTTGGCGGCTTGCAGGCAAGTGGAGGTCGGGGCATCAGTTTATCCAGAGTCAGCCGACAGGACTTGGACCTGGTAAGCGATTTGCCCGCTGAGCATCTACAACGCCTGCAAACATTGTGTGTGTATTTAATGTGTTCCTGATTCCGCTCATCCGCTCTGTGTGTGACTGCAGCTGAAGAGCGACATGGCGGCGGGTTTCGGAGAGGCTCTGCAGAGGAAGCTGCTGGAGGTGGAGGGCCTGTACAGCCAGGTGCGATCCCGCTACACCTTCATCCAAGCCCTGGTGCGCAGGATCCGCGGCCTGCTCCGACAGCCCAAAAGCTGAGACGCACAACACAAAGACTGTCCAAAAATCTCTGTTTCATATCGACTCGACTGTTGCCAAGCAACACCAGAAAACTATTGATTCAAACATCGTCAGGTGGTTTTTGCTGAGATCATCACTCCTTTTCACTGACCTGTTGCAGCTCCTCTTGACTATTGTGAGATTCAAACGCCATCTCAGCACAAGGGGTGTTTTCGGTGACTTATCCTAATTTTGTTTAACTAGCGCAATGTGCTTTTTACTCAAGATAATGTGGTTTTCTTTTTTTTTTGGGAAAATAATTTTTTTCTAAATCTGTTAAAGACATGTGATTATCTGTCGCTATGCACTGAGGTGAGGATAGTTTATACTGCGATTTAAACGGTTCTTCCTGATTGACACCATTTTGTAAGAGCTTACTCGTCTTGGAGAATCAACAACTTTCACTTTTGTGCACGTCTGCCTCTGACTTGTTATGACTCATTGCGAGAAGCGAAAGAAGGAACCAAAACAAGACCTTTCTCTTTGAAAGAAACATCACTAGTGTGGGACCAGAGGTTGCACTTGTATTAATGCTTGTCTTATCAAATACAACACAAACACACAATACCCACATAGCATATTTAATCTTGTTTTTATTTTAAGGCGCACTTTTTATAAGATTGTAAAGTGCGTTGATCCTCAAATGTCAGAGGGGATGAGGACAAATATCTGGATATACATTCAGAGAACTTTTTGTGCTCTTATTATTTGAAGAGTTAGAAAGGGGAACAAATGAAGAGGGGAAGGACTCCGGTGAGCACAGGGGGAACTCCGTGTGAATGAACACGGCCCGTCTACTAGAGCGAGTCGATGGGTTAGTGGAGAAACTGCGCTCAGAAAAAGTCAGATCAACCTACTTTGTTTCCTCAATGGAAGAAATGTACTTCTCAATAGACCACGTTCATCATACTCTATAAATTACTTTAAATAAAATTACATCATTAAAAACATTTACATTTCTTAGGCCAGCTTTCTTGATCCGTGATTGTTCTGCGTTGGCTTTTTATGGAGAACCTGATGGTGCCGGTTCATCTCCCTTCCAAGGTTATTATAGTTTTGAATTTTTCACTAGTTTTTATTTTTATTTAGTTTTGACTTTTTGTTTTCAATTTCAGTTTAGTTTTAATTAGTTTTTAAAGCGGGTTTGCTAGTTTAGTTTATGTTTTATTTTTTGAAAATGCTTAGTTTAGTTTATTTTTTATTTTTTGAAAATGCTTAGTCTTAGTTTAGTTTTTATTAGTTTCAGTATTATTTTTAGTCTTTACTGCAGAATGTAACAGACCAGTCAGGGAAGCTTCATTTTTTGCTTGCAAAACAAAATGCTCAAAATGAATTGTAGATACAAGCTATAATAAGTAATACAAACTCAACACAACATACCATTTAAAAAAATGGCACAACAATATCACAACAATATCAACAACAGAACATAAAATGTAGATATGGGTACAAATATGTAAACATTCTACACAAGATGCCATAGCCAATAGACTAAAGACACACGTGAACAGCATGTACTAAACCCTTTAATGAGCCACACACGACATCGCTTGGGAGCCGGGAGTCTCAGAGAGCTCAATCTGGAGAAAAAAAAACTAAAACCCAATAAAAACTCTAGAGCAGCGATTCCCAAAGTGTGGGCCGCGAGAGGTCATTTACAATAAATAAATAGTTTTTTAATTTTCAATTTTTTATAGTTTGAAATTAATATAAAAATATTTATGATGCGGCACATTAGGTATGTGGAGAAACAAAGCTGTCGTTCTCGCCGAGCACTTCATGAGATTAAAGAGCGAGAGACGGTGTCCTTTTCTCTACAGTAGCTCCAGACGCACCTCGCAGCATCGATCGGACCCTGAAAGCACCGTCTCCACCTTACTGTCAAACAGCGAGCGCGTAGAAAACTCCTTCGAGCGCGAGCAGAGATTCTCCTTGCGAGTTCACGTTCACGTTTCGCAAGCGAGCAAATACCTCGCGGAGACGGACTTTGCTCGAGTTTGGGAACCGCTGTTCTATAGCATTGACAAAGACGAAAACTAAAGACATTTTCTCTATAATTCTATTTTATTTTAGTTAGTTTTGCAAAGACACAATACAGTTTCAGTTAGTTATCGTTTTTTTTTATAAAGGCTCGTTTTTATTTTTATTTCAGTTAACGAAAAAAAAAATCACACCTCGTTTTCGTTTTTTCGTTAACGATAATAACCTTGCTCCCTTCCACATGAAATACAGCCTGTGAACGTCCTGTCGTTCATTAAGCAGGAACATTCATCCTCCTCAGTTCTTGACACTAATGACTCATCAGGTCAGAGTACACAGGGTTGCAGTGTGCTATTTCTACCAAGGTTTCGCTCTTACCTGTCATGGAGAGCGCTTGAGTTCGGTTTCTTAAGCCCCCCCCCCCACACAATGATGTCACTATGAAGGCCTCATGAAAGGTGCTGCTAAATTGCATTGTGGGAATTGTAGGCTCCAGTTGGCTTATACTCAATTTCTACAAGGTTATCACAGCCTCTGCTGCTTCGATGTTTAAAATATAAAATCTCCATGATTGATGCCTGCTTTGGATGGATGCCGAAATATTAAAAACCAGTTTGATTGGCAAACTAGTTCCATTGCTGCAAAACACTATGACCGATCAGCCTACGTGCATCCAGAGTTTCAAAAGCATTGGCTGGACGAGGAAGCCTCACCGAGGGATGCAAGAGGGAGATGAGGTCATTGTTTTCCAACCACATGATTATTTTTCACAGCTTCAGAACCATCTTAAGCAAAGACCGGGGCACATACTGTAAATACTTATGTCTTTTATGTTATCAACAAAAGATTGATTTATGTACATAACACAAATGTTTCTTTGTGTAAATGAAACAAAAACATTTATACCGTCCACAGACTTGCGTTACAGCACCAGCAGACTTAGTTTGAACCGTCGTTTTGCTGTAGTTCACATCCTGTTCAGGGAGCCGCAAAGCTCCGTGGTGCTCCACTAGCTCAAGAGAAGCCGCCACAGATGAAGAGTCTATAAAAGACGTTCAGCTGTCCTAACGGTCTCCAGTTTGAGGGACGTCGATCACTCCTGAAGCCCCTCTGCTCTAGTGTCGTGTCCTTTAGTCATCCGGCACAGTTCCAGCAGTGAATCAGAGGGTCTTTGAATGCGTTTAAGAGGGGGGGAAAAAGGGGGGAAACCCGAAAGAGTGGCAAGGTAGGGCGGCTTCTCCAGCACAGATTGTTTGTCCGTCCGTCTGTCTCCCACACTTGTCTTCAAGTTCAAGGACAGCACGGAGAGTGCGCTTCTATACTTAGTGCATTTACTACACGTCAGCACCTCCTGTGTCTCTCTCTCTCTCTCTCTCTCTCTCTCTCTCTCGACCCATCCAGCAGCCGTCTGCTAGTGGAACACGCGCCCTTATGAGCTATCACTGCCCCCTTCTTGCGAGTTGTTGTTGTCCGTCACGCTGGCACTGCCCCCGTTAGTCTGAAGGCACTCGGGCACCTCTCCCGTCACCGCCACTCGAATCACTTTCAGCCAGCGCTGCTTGAGCTCCTCACTTTCGGCCGCAAAGTTATGGATGGACTTGGACTGGGAGAGGTGGAAGCTGGCCGGGGGGTCCGTGGTCCGGGCGCCGTCGTCCACACAGTAGCCCAGGAGGGGGATGGTGCACTGGGCCTTCACGTCCTGAGGAGAAGATCAGGGATTAAAAAAAGGTTGCACATTGGGGGAGGGGGAGACATTTTCCCCTTCATGCGTTGTACCTGCGGAGCGCCGTAGAGGTAGAGCACCAGACCCTCCTTCTCGGGGATGACGCCCCACACCTTCTGCCAAGGTTTGTTCTTCTCGCAGTACTGCAGGAAGCCACACATGATGCTGCTACCTGTGATCTGAGCCGCCTCGATCTGCACAGCGAGGATGAAGGCATATTAGCACACGGATCTCTGCACGGGTACACGCACAGATGTAGGCCTCAGCATCTCCTCCTCACCTCCAGGATGCCCTTCTTCTTGCCCTCGGATCTCGTCTCTCCTGTGAGGATGGAAAAGCAGTCTCTGCAGACTTTGTTCGTCTTGTTGCCGTCATACTGAAGCGCAACCTTGTTGTCTGAACATTTCCAGCACACCACCTGCAAGAGAGAAGAGACATTTTAGAGAAGGCTTTTTTTAAGCATCATTGAATCAAATATGACTATTTACTTATGGCAATGACTGTTATGACTGACTATTATTAGTTGATGTATTATCTTAATTAAAAGCATATTTGGGGCATTTTCGCTTGATTAGCAGCAGGAAGCTGGAAGAAAATGACACTCGACACGTCAGGTGTTGCATAGTGACGCATGTGGGAACTTTAAAAGTTAAGGTGAAAAAGTCTCATTCAAAAGCAATCAGGGTAGACGGTGTATTTTTCAGACATTTCTTCACATTTGATGCTCTGAATGTTTAAAGACTTACATAACCGCAGGCTCTGCAGTGGTGCCGCCGCCGCGTCAGAGCATTGAAAGACTCCTTGCACTTCATACACATCGTCACTTCGTTGTCTCGGATCCAGCGAGGAGCCCGCTTCCCCAGCTCTGCATTCTGGATTAAAAAAGACATATATATACACTGAGTAGGACGGCAGAGAGCGGTGAAGGTTCATCCGCCCATGCAGGTCGGCTGTGACACTGACCGACACTTCCTCTACGTCTTTCAGCGCGTTCTTGAAGGACTCGTTTTTCTGCTGGAAGATCTCGATGGTCTCCTGGAAAGCCTGCAGGACAAAGACAACGTCAGACTCACGTGTCACTCATTCGACAGGGAGTTTAAAAACACACGTGGTCAAATAAGAAAAGAAATTTTGAAGTATTTTGAACGTGTATTTACCTTAATCCAGTCTGCCTTGTCCTGCTCCGAGCTGCGAAAGATAAAGCCATAAGCATTCAAACCTATTTATGCACGTTTATCTGCTTGTAAAACACAAGGTCCTACCAACACAGCACTTAGAGGTCAACGAGTGTTTAGAGATTCGTAGGAGTTTGGGTGTGCTCATGAGTGGTTTTCCAAATGTGGGAGGGGCTATGATGTTTCTCCCATAAATTGTACCTGGCCTGTAGCTCCAGCATCCTCTCCTTTCCCGACACTTGGAAGGTATGAGGGTAGTCCTCGTTGGACGTTTCCAGGACCTTCATGCCGTCGATGCCGATCCGCGTCCTCACCGTGTACTTGGTGCCCCCCAGGCTAAATTTGGGCACGCAGTACAACAACATGTTGTTGAACTGGCGAGAAAAAGAAGCAAAGAAAATAAGTTTTCGTTGTGCACGGATCAGCGCTTTGGCAGTTGAGGCTCGATTTGTTCCGTTGAAGGCGGCATTCAATGCTGCGGGTAACCTGAATTACACAGACGGGAGACATTGGGCCTGAGGCGAATAAGAAAAAAAAAACAGCCCGGACGTAATCACATCATCTGGCAATCCCAGTAATTGAGAGATGCGTTCAGAACGCAGCGGTGTTGCCAGAAGGAAATGATTCACTCCTTTCAAATTGCCTAAGTCTCGCCTCGGCACGTTTGCTCTCATTGGATAAGAAGAGGCCTCCATTCCCTCACCAGGAAGAGGTATCGCTCCATGGCCGAGGTGTTCCTGGCCGCCAGCTTCAGGATGTGGCCCTCCTTGATGAACTCGTTCGAGGGGTTGACAATGTCTTCCTCCTCACCCAGCATCTCGTATATGTCCATCAGTTTCTTCAGATTATCCTGAAGGAGGACGGGACCATTATGTTTAGCTGGACGTTAATGTGTCTGACATATTCCCTCCGTTTAATTGTGAAAGACAACAAAAAAAGGTTTAAAACCGTCTTTACTTACAGATTTTCGAATGGCGCTGTTGGAGTGAGTAGCTGCTGTCGCGATAATTTCTAATGATTCTGTGGGGGACGGAGAGCGGTTACCTCAACATGGTGAAATTCTACAGTGGGAACACTGAGCGTCTAGACTTACTCTCTGAATCCCGCCGGTCAGGGTCGTCCTGAGGCAGCTTCTTCAGGTAGTCTTTGAGCAGCATCTCGTAGCGAGGGACTCTCTGCACGGGCTCCAACATGTGGTGCTGAAGCGCCAGGAAGCCACAGACCTCCTGGCTCTTTTCAGGAAAAAAACCAGAAACTACAATTACCGTCTCAGCCAGCCCACCAGGCTGCATTTTACATCGCTCCGAAGTTCCAGCATGTATCCGATTACACAATTTCACAACATTTCTCTGGAGTGGAATTGGGCGCGCAGTACCTGGATCTCCTGGATGATGGCCTTGAATTGAGGCGAGCGGTCAGTCCACTGTTTCAGCAGCTCCATGGCCTTGTCGAAATTCTTCACGTACTCGGCGTACATCTTGAGGAAGGGTGTGAGTTTCTGCAGGATGTCTCCGATGCGAGGCGTGGACTCCCTGTGGGGGAGAGAGAGAGAGAGACAATTAAGAAAGAGTAAAGTGTAGTGTTTTCAATTTGTTGTAACATTTATTTTATTAAGAATAAATCATCCTCGTGCTAATGTGTACAGGATTTTGTAGCATTCATTACAGGCTGCAGCTCACCATTCTCCCATGCGTTTCTCCAGATCTGGAAGCAGAAACTGGCTGTGAAAGGCGTTGATGGAGCTGATGTTTGAGAAGATGTTCTTCACTACCTCCACAGGGAATGTGCCTTTGTTTGCCTCCTCCATGAGCTTGGCACAGAATACCTGCGTACACAACGCAGACAACTGGTAAGTGACGAATTATTGGAGGAGTTCACAAAGGTCTCTCTTGCTGCGTTTAGTGAGCCTTCCCATGAGAAACGGTCTGGAAATACAGAAGTGAACTGTCGCGGTCGACGCGGAGTTCCTCACCTGGTCCAGCAGGTTCAGTCGCGTCACGTAGGCCTTCTCTGTGTGCAGGATCTCGCTGGCGATCTTAAACAGCTTCTGTTCATTGGTCTCCTGAAAACATTAATCGGGAGTCTTACAGATCTGGTGATAGATGAGTGAAGTATTAAAGACAGTAAGCAAGATTATTCTGCAAGTTCCCGTTTGGTTGAGCCCACCGAGCTCATCGACTTGTCGCGTTTTCTGCATTTCAGCTATTAAATGCTCACTGTGCATCGTGCATTTATTCCAGCTGGACGCATCAGTGACTCATCTACCGTTTTGGGCGCAGCCTCGTGTTGAACCTCGTCGCACTGTAGCTACGTGCAGCAGAATGTAGCACTGGCGTGTGTGTGTGTGTCCTTAACACTGAGCTGATGCTCAAGTACGGAAGAGAGGAAATGACACAAAATCAAACAAAGACACGATTAAGCCCAGAGCTTAGTGTGAGAGGCCGGTGATACAAACAATAAGTGTGGCCTACATAACATCCCCCACGCGTGCTTATGGGATACATGTGTGTGTTTCAGTTGCCACCCACGCCAGTTTACTTCCCCAATGACCACAGAGGCGGAACCCCTCTCACTGTATGAGTATTTAACCACAAGGACGCAAATGATCTGACAACAATCAGTCTTGTCAATACAGCCATGTGCTGCACATGGTAAGCGTTTACAATGGCACTGATGAAGATGAGATCAGCATCTTTTCTAGATCCTTAGAAGTAGTTGGTTATCTGGGTCCCTCCTCATGTTTCACATCTCTCAGTCAGTTGTTACAACTGGTCAAAGCCCTCCCCCCCCTCTCCTAAAGAACTACAATATTCCACATAAAATGCAAATATTATAAAATAAAAACTAAAAAATGATTCCGTACACACACACACACACACACTTGTAACTCGACCCATACAATGTTTGAGAGACCCAGAGCTGAATTAGTGCAGAAGATTTAATTGTGTTGAAGCCCGGAGCAGAGAGTACCGGCCGACCTTTCGGAGGCAGCGATAGAGCTTTGAATAGGCACAGGTCACTCGGGGTGAAGGGTCACCAAGCAAACGTACCTTAGGTTCGGTGCTGCCTTCTTCGTTCCTAAGCTCACTTTCTATTTTAGTCCCACTGTCGTCGTCCTTCTCATCCCCCTCCTCCTTCTCTTCTTCCTCTTCCTCCTCCTCCTCAGCACTTCCTGCAGCAGTCCTTTCCGTTTGCGGAGGTGAACCACCGCCCGTCGGTTCTGCGCTCCTGCGACCCTCGTCCCCGTTCACCAGCCCGTCGGCCTCCGTCCCCACGCCGTTCCTCTCCGGGACGGCCGCCTCCTCCTTGCCCTGCTCCATCCGAGCTAGCGTCCCGTTAGCCGCCGGCGTGCGGGCATCCTCCGGCGAGGGGGGCGCAGAGGATCGGTCCTCCCGAGTACCGGCGGGCTCCGTGCGCCACGGGGAGGCGCGGGGAGCCGCGCTGCAGTCCAGCGACCTGCTGATCTGCTTGAGCGGCGAGCCGTCTCTCTTGTTCTCCGCGCTGCTGGAGGACCGGAGGGGGAGAAAGGAGGAAGTTGGTCAAGAGAGCAAAAAAACAAAACAATAAAAAAGGACAGGAGCGGCTGCAGCTGCTGCTGCAGCGGCGCACTGGTCGGGCCGCGTGGACACAGTGAGTCGGAGAGCAGATGGCTTTTGCGAACTAGTGTGAGAGTTAAAAATAAAACCGTGGAGAGTAATGAGGAGGAGAAGAGGTGCACGCTGCCTCATGCGTGGTATATTATAATTATATTAGATTAGATTATATTATAATGTCTCTACCGGTCTTCGCCTCAACGTGAATAAAATGAAACCGGTCGGATCGCAGCTCGTGAGCGGAAATTCGATCACAAAACACAAACACGCCGCTGGTTCGCCTGCACAATGTCACCGTTCAGCCGCTGTGCTTCCTGCACCGGTAGTCAGTCCAGCTGTTTCCCCGTTAGCTGCACCGACAGCAAAGCAGCGACCTCCGGCAGCCGCTGCACATCTGGGCTCGCTTCTGTTGCAACACGGGTCAAAGAATAAAAAAAAAATCGGATACAGGCTAAACTGAAGGCACGTGCTATTTCCCGCAGAAAAGAAACAGGTGATCGAGCCGTGTGGAACCGGTCGGCCGTGCAGGTGATTCCCCGCCTGTGCGTCGCTGTCCGGTGGAGCGCAGCGACGAGCAGACGAGTACGCAGACATTGGGTGGGGGGGGTTGGGAAGGGAAACACCCCCACGAGTTCACTGACTAACCTCATCAACACTGAAAATGTGACCAAAAACAACAACTGTAAAAGTAAAAGCACAGCCAACAAAACTGTTGGCTGCCCCCCGCGTAACCATGGAGACAACAATTTCAAAGTAAAGGCGCTGCCGTTGAAACCCGTCCGAGAGATCCTACCTCATGCTCCTGAGGAGTCCTGTCCCACAGCCGACTGAGGCGCAAATCTCCTTTCATCCCCCGTGTGCCAAACCCAGCGGGCTAATCTCGTCTCGTCCTGTCTACGGGTCTCGACTACGCTGCTATCAGTGAGTTAGGCTGAAGACAACGTATCCACGAGGGACTTCTGCTTTTCAACACCCCGAAATAACCGGCAATAGGAAACGTTAGAAAAGACAAAGAGTTTTCCGTCACCGCGGTTACGACAGCCCGAGTGAGGTTGTGTTGTTACAAAAAGCCATTTAGCGGCGTCGATGGGAGTTATTCAGCCGGAACCAATGTGCCATGTTTTAAGGAAAGAAAGGAAGAATAGAAATTAAACACAATGCCGGTCACTATGCAATTGCACTGACTAACATCAGTCACCCTAATAACATATATTTTTAGCTTCTATTCTCTTAATTGTTTCCCCTCTGAGAAGTGAAAGCAAACACACACACACACACACACACACACACACACACACACACACACACACAATAGAACAGAGAGTAAAGAGCCCCTACCTGTTCTCTTCGAAGCGGTTGATGAGGTCTGAGACTTTGGAGTGTTTGTCTCTGACTTTTTCCCGGTTCACAGCTCCTCTCCCTCCCCCTCCCCCCCCTCCTCCTCCTCCTCCCTCCTCCATGCCTGCTTTTAGTGGTGCTCTCTGGAGGTGGCCCAGCGGGGATTTGACCTCCGTCACCGGGCTCTGGAGATGTAGCGGCTTTGGGGGCACTGCAGAGAAGACAGCGGTAAAAAGACTAAACATTAGAGACGATCTTTGGACGCTGGTAGACTGGTGGAGGATTTGTCTGGTATTCTTCCATTGAAGTCTCTGCAATATCGGCGTGGACCTGAAGGCGGCGGTATAAGCTACCCGGTTTCCAAGCGAGCGGTTTTACTGGTCTCGCGCCCATGTGTTAGGATTCACACTCCCTGCATGAAAGGCCGGTGCCGTCTCCCCCCTTATCTGTGTCGACTGATTCACTCAACTCAAACAACAGAAGGACAAGGCTCAAGGTGCACCGATCCTAGGCCACGTTACAGAGCTCCATTGCTGCTTCCCCGCGTTCTCCCTGGAGTCGCAGACCGGACTATCGTGGTTACCCCCTGTATCCACGGCCCCCCTCGGGCCCTGCGGTGTTTCGGCCCGATGGCTGCGAGCCGTCGACGTGTACCTTTGGGTTTAGAAAGCTGCCGGGGCCGTCCCGAGGCCCGCTCGACTCAGACACGCCTGCACGCTGGCCGGCTTGCTGCTCTCGCGCGCCGGACTGCTGCCGAGACCTGAAGGACAGACAGACAGAGACCATTACATCTCATCATCTTCCATTCAAAATGACCTGATGAGAAAAAGCTGGACCTGCTGGACACCGAACAACACTCATTTTAACCACTAAACGCTTTGGCAAGTCCATTGACGGACCTCCTGTCCGTCAATGGACACAGGCACCAATGTGGTTATCGTCCCCGACTGTGAGCTGCATCATCATCATCTTCTTCTTCTTCTTTCTGGCACTTCTTCATTTACTACAGCATGATAATTACATCACGTTAGAACTCTCTAGTTGATGCGAAGAGTGCAGACTTACGGAAAATGTTTTTGAATATTTGACCTGCAGTAAGTGGGATTTCATTTATAAAAAAGGAAGCTAAAAAAACTAAAAAAGCAACCAAAGTGTGTCTCACACACTGAGAAAGACCTCCTCTGATATCTCCTCCCTTAATACGACAGGGTGTGCTCTACTTATCCATGGCTGCAAATACGCTTATGATAAACGACTGCAGGGTAAATAATACAGGGTGTCAGACAGTTCAGTTGATTATCCAGCTGATGATCAGCTTTTAGCAGACCAGCTGGCTGCAGATGGCACAGCATCGGTGTTTGGACGGAGCAGACTGACTTAATGGCACGGCGGACACAGACCGGCAGTGTTTACGGCAGCCTGGATATAAACGTCTCTCTCTAAACCACACAGCACACACAAGCACATGCAAGTGAAACATGTGCACTTAAAAAGGCACATCTCCATGTATGGTGCTCTCATTGTTTCACAGGGTATTCGTCCATTAGTCTCCATTTAAGGTGGTCACTTAAGATGCGAGCGTGGGATTTAACAAGCGGAGTCGGATGCAGAAATCGATGGAGCTTAGCGCGGATAACAAGTAGGAATAAACACTGAGTGAAGTGGAATAATAGTGTGGAGCTTAAAAGATGCAGGCTTACAATTGCAAAAATAAATAGCGCGCGCTCAGTTTTCAGTCGACGGACTGGAAGGACACGTCCTGCCCCTCGGTTTGACGCTGATGCTACTACGGAAAGAGACATTTTCCATCCCTGTATAAATCATTGAATCAAGAGGTCTTCATTCCTTAATAGGCACGGTCTCATGTCCAAAAATAGATCAAACTAAAAGCATCCGTGCTTTGAGAGGCACAAATGAATATCAAATTTCAGAAAAATTGTCTTCCGCTCTTCTGGACAATCAGGTCAAGACGCTATGAAACAATTAACCGATTAATCCATTCACATAAAACTCATCTGAAACTACTTTATTACTTAGTGTTGCCATGAAGTATATGAACAACAGTGAAAAACATAATAAATATATATGTAGTCTAGATGCAGTTTGTTTACTGATATTTTGCTGCTTAGGGCCCCTTATTTATACACCCGACATTGATCTTTATCTCACTAGTCTTAAAACAGAAAGAGAAAAACAACCACAGAGTCACAGCTTCTGTTTTTACTGCCCAACCGTAATTAAAGACAACAGCTTGAGCAGAATGTATGAATAGAAACGGGCCCCATGCGGTGTTCTCTGAACATGGCCCCAAAATTACCAATCAATTCTGAAGTCTGCCTCCGGAATTTCTCTTGATCATGTGCTCGGCTTCGCCCCGTGGCCACATTAAGAGATCATAAGAATTTATCGAGCCTTGCAGCTGTACACATGTGGCTGGAAAGGAAGTCTCCGCCTGCGGATTGTGCTCCGCGTACGTCATTTATCCTGGCAGGCTGCTCGGGGGCCCGACCCCCCGCAGCCCGGCTCTGCCTGCCTAGGGTTGTTATTAACGGCGTCGGCTTTAAATCACCGCGGTGCTGGACGCTTTCACTTGAACCGGTTACTGTGCAAGAAACGCACAGACAAAGACATTTGCGTCGAGATCAGATCAACAAGCAGCCGGTTCTGTTTCAGTACAAACAGGAACTTTACTTTCTCGGAAGGAAGTCTCATGCTCGGCAGGAACTTCAGCTCCCGCTAACACGCATTCTGGCGTCTTCTCATAATTAAAGCTGGCTCGGCTCAAGCGACAGGCCGGTGTGAATTAGGAGCAGCCAGCCGCCATCCTGCAGGAACACTTCGGTTCCCCAACTCCATCTGTGTGCAGCGAGGGAGACGCGATGATGTTAGAAACAAAAGATTTATCCTGGACAACGACTAGTTATGACAATGACTGAATACGCCAAGAAGTACTATAATATCTTTGTGTCCTCACGACAAAAAGCTCTTAGTTAAGTTGATAGTTAATCTGTTTACGTAGAAACCGAAACAACATTGCCGCGGTCAAGGAAGCGTCGAATTGACGAATCAAACCTTGTTGGAGGATGCTCAGCCTTGCTGCCATGGCAACCAGCCCGTTGCTTCCTGAAGATGGACTTCAGGAGCCTGAGGGCCTCTGCTTCAATCATCAATACATTTCAAAACCGCACGGCGAGAAGGGTCCTCTCAAAGGTCAGGTAGAAGTGCAGCAGCGCAGATGAAATAAAGACCTGTGCTAAATGAACCAAGCCTCTTGTGAATTTCATCTTCACTCCTCATTGTGCCGGACAAGAGATGTCCGAGCAGACGCTACTCCTTTTTAAAGAGAACCTGCTTTCTAAAAAAGCTTTACCTGACGACGGAATGCATCCTCAAAAGGTTTTCCCTGCAAGAAAAATGAGGGAATCACTCCTAAAACAGTTTGTCTGCCAGCTGGCCGAGGTCAGGTCGCTTCTTATTTCACATAGTTCAGTTCCTCGTGTGCGATTGTTCATCAGTTTCACCTGCATCCAATAAGCCCCCTTGTGCGTTTACCCCGCGTGCTCCTTTTGTCTTTAATGTTGAAGTGAGACTTCCACCAGTTTTTGACGCCAGTGTTTTTTTGGTACTGCCGTGCGTCTTTATTAGACACTCTTCAGTGAACTTCTCCGTTTTTTGCCAAGTATATCCCTTTACTTTTTGTCTCTGACGTCAGACACACTTCTCAGCGCATGGGTTGGCATATTAAAAGATTGGCTTCCGCAGAGCTGGGTCATGAACAAAACGTTTAGATAAGACGACGCATAGAGGAAACGTGAGCTTAAGTAAAGCAGCCGCGATCGCCCGTGTCCTCGCATGCCGTCTTCGAATGGGTTGATTTGACGGGAGGGCAGCGATCTGTCAGACTGTTGAGAAACATCGTGACTGTCGTTAAGATTGCCATATTAACGCACATCCGCAAATAAAAAGAACGGGTCATCGTGAGAGCGAGCTTTGTTCCAAAATCAAAAGTAAGGAGTTAAAGAAGCCTGAATGTCAGCGGGAGGCAGTCCAAGAGGAATCAGACCGAGAGAAGTGAAATATTCTGTTTTAAATTAAAAAAATCCCAGCTATCAGACTCACCCTTTGGATTTTGAGGCGGACAAGAAAACGCTTGGAGAGAGTATCCTCAGTGAGGGACCGCGCTGTGTTTGTGACGGTACTCGAGTCCCAGAAGAGTACTAAATTTAGGTCCCGTGCAATCTTCCCATGCAGCGTCGGCGAGTGACTCTGCGTTATGAGAAGAAGAAGCAGCGCAAGACTCCTCCTTCACTCTCGCTCACTACGAGACTCTCGACAGAAAAGGAAGCTACAGAGGAGCAGACAGATCACAACCCACGTGTCTGGAACGGAAAGGATCTGCACATTTATGTTGTAAAATACTACAAACTACAGTTTTTATAACACCCTCTTCACTTCTCCTTCTGTCCGATTAGTCTGATCAGACTAAACGAGCCTGGATCCCGACACACCAGTTCTCCCGTCTGCTTGATGAATCTAAACGAAGCCCAAAGGCTCTATTCAATTGTTTTAAAACATCTCCTCATCGACTTCTCCCCCCTCTAGCACATTTTCGTCCTTAAAATATTTGGGACGTATAAAACAAGACAAGAAAGACCAGTCGGCAAAATTGAGCAAGACGGCACAAGTGAGAAGTTACGCGAAAATGCCTCTGATAACCGACAACGAACGAGGTGGAGGGAAAGTACACAATGAGCAGGCTGCTTGTCAGCCCGAGCTACATGTACCTTTTGCAGAAGTCATTATGGGGAAGTGCGACTTTAACTTCTGTTCTGCTTCTCCGCTGTGAGAAGAACTTCTGGCGTCTCTGACGGTCAAGTCAGCTCTTATTGCTGTAATGGACGGTGTGATACATCAACGCTGAGCAGTTGCGTGGTTACACAAAAGGACTGCCGCAGCACAGAAAGCCCTAATTTAACCGTAGCAGCTATGCTATATGGAGTAGTTCTTGTCCCCTTGCTATTTGCGGCGGCGTGAGAGCTATTTGTGTGCGCCCGTTTTGCATGTGTATGTATATATTCACGCAGAATGTGTCCCTTCGCGCTCTCTCCGATGGGCCTCACAAGCTCACTGAGGAGGATTGAAAGGAATGAGGCATCCCAGTAAACCAGTTTCACCAGGAAGCAATTGCAGTCCTTAAATTCCATTTAGATAACCTGCACGTGAATGCGGCAAATGTGGACGCTTCAAGCTATGAAAACTACACAACATCCCAGATGACTGTACAATGGTGACGCGACAACTGCCTCCTCCTGTCTCACGCCCATTCAGGGTCGACTTGTGTCAGCGGCACGCAACCTTTGACCCTCAAACAGCTGCACAGACATGTAAGCACTACAAATCGGACTTTCCAGCAATACTGGAATTGTAATCACAATGCAACATAGATCAGCCATTCCCAAAGTGTGGTGCGCGCACCCCTGGGGGTGCGCGAGCTGCAACCAGGGCGTGCGCGAGAGGAAAAATATAATGGCGGTCAGTTTTTTTAAGTGGGATTTTTTCATTGACATATATAAAAGGATTTTTCCATACAATAAAAAAGCATGAAAGTAAGTAAACATTTCCTTTGTAATCGCTTTTATTTTAAATATAAATACTATAATATATTATTTTTTGATAGAAACGTAGAAGAAGACAGCAGCTGTCTTCTTCTACGCATGCTCTTCTTTCATGCACTGCAGCCGCTAGGCAATATGCGCGCCAACTCGTTTCATTGATGCATTGATTGCTTAACTGGCTGAAATCAGGGAAACTGTCAAGTGGGACATCTTATAATAAAGTTATTAGTCACGAAGGAGGAGAGGGACCAAGAGAGAGAGAGGATTTGGAGGCAACAGAGACGGAGAGGATAGAGACAGAAAATGAGCGGGAGTCAGAAGATGCACAGGAGGAAACCGAAGAGCAGGGTAGGAGATGCCAAAAAGAAGTGATGAGGGCGAACACCAGACGGGGAAAAAAAGAAGAAAATATGATGACAATTATCTGGCTCTGGGCTTCACTTGGATCGGCGATACAGATTGTCCGAAGCCTCAGTGCGTGTTGTGCAGTGAGGTTCTAGCAAACAGCTGTCTGAAGCCATCTTATCTCCGTCGTCACATGCACACGAAACATGGCCATTTAAGTCACAAGCCCCTTACATTTTTTAAAGCGAAATTGGAGGAGTTGCAGAAAAGCCAAAAGAAAATACAGTTTCATTCATGCGTTGGGTCTACGAAAGACGCACTACGGGCTTCATATCTGCTCAGTTACAGAGTAGGGAGAAAGGGGCTGCCGCACACAATGGCCGAAGACGTGTGTTTGCCAGCGGCCAAAGAAATGGTGGCGTGTATGATTGGAGAGAAAGAGGCAAAAAAGTTGGACATGATTCCTGTGTCCAATAACACTGTGTCGCGCCGCATTGATGCCATGTCTGAAGACATCCTGGCTGTACTACTCAGCCGTGTGAAGAAAAGTGAGTTTTACTCTCTGCAAGTAGACGAGTCTACAGATGTTGCAAATCTGGCCAATCTTCTTCTCTATGTGCGTTACCTTTTTGAAGGATCGGTACAAGAAGAGTTTTTGTTCTGTCGGCCCCTTGCTACCCGAATAACAGGACAGGAAATCTTCAATTTAATTGACGTTTTTATGAGGACCAATGGCATCGACTGGGAGCGCTGTGTGGGAATTTGCACAGACGGGGCAAAATCAATGACGGGGAAACACACGGGGCTTATAGCTCATATTAGGAGAGTCTGCCCATCCGTCAGCTGCAGTATTCACAGAGAGGCCCTCGCAGCCAAAAACATGCTGATCTACTTGCAGCGCTGAACGACGCAGTCAAACTGGTGAACTTCATTAAAGCTCGTCCGCTAAATTCACTAATATTCACACTGTTATGTAACGAGATGGGCAGCGAACACAAATCACTGCTGCTGCACACAGAGGTGCGTTGGCTGTCCCGCGGCAAAGTGCTGACAAGGCTCTTTGAACTCCGGCACGAATTGCAGCAGTTTTTTGAGGAGAATCCGTTTCATTTGGCCTGCATGACGAAGATTTTCTGAAAAGGCTCGCCTATCTAGCGGACATCTTCTCAGCTCTGAATGAACTCAATCTAAGTCTGCAGGGAGTCAGTGTAACTGTGTTCAACACACAAGACAGGGTTGAGGCCATGATAAAGAAGCTACGGTTCTGGGCAAGTTGTGTGAGTGGGAACACACACCTGTGTTTCCCTACGCTTCACGAGTTCTTGGGGGAAAATGACGTGCACCTTGGTGAGCATGTAAAAACTCTCATAATTGAACACCTCAACCAACTCGCCGAGCAGCTACGGAAACACTTTCCACCTATGGACACATCTGGCGCTTGGATTCGCAATCCATTTGAAGTTTCCCTGCCCGTCCCACAGCTGTCATTACACGAGCAGGAGCAGCTGATCGAGCTGTCATCTGATGGAGCACTGCAGTCACAGTTCAAACGAAAGCCACTTGTGGATTTTTGGACCGAGTCACTGACATCATACGCAGTCTTGGCAAAGCAAGCCTTGAGAGTTTTGATGCCCTTCGCCACAACTTATCTCTGCGAGGCTGGTTTCTCTGCTATGGCAGCAGTTAAAACTAAACATCGGCAAAGACTGGATGCTGTTGAGAAGGAATTGCGGCTTAAACTGTCTTCCATTGCGCCAAACTTTGAAGAGCTTTGTGCCAAGATGCAAGCCCACCCGTCGCATTAATATGGGTGTTGGGAATACTAACACATTCTCTCTCCCTCACTCACTCTCTCTCTCTCTCTCTCTCTGCAGGCTGAGCGACTTTTGCGCTAGACTTCCAGATGGATTCTCTTTTATCGTCTTTTAATTTATTTTATGTTTGAGCCGCTCTTTGTTACTTAATTATGTTGTGGATCGTGTGTAGGCTAATTTTATTGTCGCACTTGAAGTTTCCGTTTTTATTTATTTTATCTATTTCGGAGCCTATTCTTTTTAATGTTGTGGATCGTTTGTAATTCATTGCATTTTAATTCAGCTTGTGTTGATGTTGTTATTGTCATGCGTGTTGTGGTTATTTGCGCATGTTTAAACATGAGTCTATATGACGATAAAACAAAGTTTTGTTGCGTTTTTTTTTAAAGTGTGAATTGGGGGTGCGCCAACCCGGTTGGGACATGGAAGGGGGTGCGCAGGAAAAAAAGTTTGGGAACCGCTGACATAGATGTTCACACTTCTGTCTGATTTCCACCTTAAATCTTTATTTAGGTTTGACCCTGCGCTGAGGGGTTTTTGTCAGAGCTTTTGGACAGAGGACATGGCTGAACTTCACCATCACCCAGATGTTTACCATTGGCTTATTTATCTATTCAGTGTATTTGTCTATTTTAAGCACAATAACCCTTCCCTTTTTTCACATTTTCCTCTCCGTCACACACACACGCACACGCACACGGAGGAGGGGGGACGCAGCGGGTCAGGGATAAGTGCCGGAATGAGGTGTAATTGTCCTCAGCTGCATGTTGTCAAATGACTTGTGTCTCTTCCTTGTATAAGCAGCAGTGGCGGAACACGTGTCAGGCCCGACGAGGAAAAACGCACTGTTCCTGCGAGCTTTATTGAATAAATAAAAGTGCCCGCACCCCAGAAACACCAAAGGAACCCCTGGATAACCAAGAAGTTATCACAGGTTAACGATCATTTTACAAAAAAAGACAAACCGCATCGCACACCTCTCATTTCACTCCTATGTTCACACCGTAAAATAGTTTCAGTGAAGGGGGGCACGATGGAAATAAACCAACACATAGAAGACAGACCGAGGAGAGGAGGGGGGAAAGGATACAGTGGGGGTGACGGGAGAGGATGACACGCAAAGTGATGCAGCATTGGAGACACACACACACACACACACACAGAGGTGTGATATAACAATAGCGCAAGCAGCTTTCTTCACACTGGGGCTTAAAGTTCACTTCACTGCAGCCATCGAAGAAGTGGAGCTTTTTGTCAGATATGGTAAAAAAAAGAAGGAAATATGACTGAAAGGCTTCAAATTGAAAAAACCTGCAGCCCCCCCCTCCCCCTGCCGTGAAATCAGAACTGACGAGTGACAAAGAATTGCATGTCACTTCGGCTTGTGGCAGCGCCACATCCCACAGACGCATCAAACATCAAACAAACAGCAATGTTTGCTTTTATTTCAAGCGATTGAAATAAAAGCAGGGAGGCAGCAGTAACGGGGGAAGGAGGGGCAAGGGGGGTGGCGCTTACCTCTGGAGTGTTCAATTTTCACCGCCACGCAGGCCTCCTCCGCATTCTTGGACGGGAAACAGTCAGCTTTGCTTTTCTTCTCTGCAACAACAAAACACAACTCAAGTCACCAAAAAAATATGCCAGCGTGCTCGGCGTATTTACGGTTTCTGAAGCGCTCTTCTGGTCGCAGCCTTGATTGGGTTTAGGGGTGGGCTTGTGTTCGTTTTGAGAACGAAGAGGAATATACGTCCCCTCGGGGATGGAAACCCGAATTAGTCTGTGTGTGATATGTAGGGCACAGTCTGTAGGGAGCCAGTATTTCTTTATATGCACATAAAAGATTAAACAGAAAATAGCAACATAGTAAGAACAATGAAGGGCCCATGCACACAAACACACGCGCACACGCACGCAGTTTGTCTGCTCTGTCTGATCTAACATGAAGCACCCAGGCTGCAGGATGATGATCTGTAGACAACAGCTGCGCGATCCGCATGTTTCGACAAATTAAAGTTGAGCTGACTTCATCCCGATTCCTTTTCTTTGCACTCACTGGGCTATAAATTACATCAAATTGATGATGACGGCTCAACCAATCAACCACAACAGTCAAAAACCTTTCCCTGTTCTTTATAGGAAGTATTAGCCACATGTGACGCATTGTGCCCCATTGGTCCCCGTGGTGCGAGTCATTTGTGCCAGTGTCATTAGCCTCTCCTCTCCTTGCACATGCATTTGAAGGGATGATGATCATGTATTCTGATAGATTGAGGTTACTTTCACAATCAGCTGTGTATGGCTAAAGCTTGAAATGACTTCCTAATGACCACAACATCTGATTACCTAACGCAAACCAATAAAGGACGGGTCACGGTAGTCCGTGCTCTCCAAACTTGAAATATTTCTTTGTCTTGTCATTCAATTGTTTACTTGTAACAATAGGCTGAGGGTGGATTTACGCACATTTTGGTATTGAATTAAAATTTGAGAAAGCTGTCTCATTGTTTCCCTTAATACAGTACAGAAATATTATTTGCATTGAGTATATACAGACTATGTGAGTAGGTGTGTGTGTGTGAAGGGGGGTATAATGTCCTGGCTCAGGGCTTAAAGAAGGGCTTTCTCCACTCACCATCTGGACCCCACAGGACAGCACTGCTTGCTGTTCACACACACACACACACACACACACACACACACACACAAATTTTTCATATTTTATATTCTGCCTCAACTCTAAGCAGACCAACTCTCACATTCGCTCTGCACTTCAACACATCTTGCGCGCTTTGAAGCTCACATAAAAAATGTGGAGTTGTGCCATTTAACATACACATTATGGGCGCCGTGTGTTTAGCAGAAGCAGACGCCAGCCAGAGCAGAAACGTCTTCCCCTGCACCATATGCATACGTTAAAAAAAAAACAAGTACCGTAAAACACAAAGTCAACACAATCATTTGATGCCACTAACAATCATTACAAATGCAACCAAGGTAGACAATACGTAACTATATATTTGCATTGATGATAGTTGTACGCTGCTATATTAATCCTCTGCGCCGTCTGGTTTCTTCCTATAAATACGTACCCTAGATTGCTGCGCCTGTAATCCAGATTTGTGATTAAAGTCTGGATTACAGGTATAACAATCCAAGCATGTCGTTCACCTTTCCACAAGTCACGAGTAATTACTGTAGTGGTTCCTCCACAACCGATAAGATAAGCTGAAACCAAAACCAGCGGTACTTCTCCCGATGTCCTTCAGATGCTGTGCTGTTTACCAGAAAGAACTCCTCCTCCACGGTACCTGAGAGCACCCTGGTCCAGAACCGCTGCTTTTCCTCCATCCTGGCGACCATACTGCGTTTATCCATCTCAGAACGAGGGTCTCATCAGCGACTATACGGGGAAAAAATTGAAGTCCCTTCTTCAGACGCAGGTTGCTCCGTCGCCTGGTTACTTAATGTCTGTATTTAGCCATCAAACCCTTGGAGTGCCTCTCCTGTGACTGTACCAACCGGTTCCCCTGAAACCAGAGTCACCAGGTGAGGGAGAAACTTAAGCAAGAAGGAAGGGGGGGGGGGGTATTTGCGGTTCCTTTTAATCATTTCTATAATATTTAGTTTCGAGGGTTAGCCAGTACTGTAATGGGAAAATGATATGTGACCCTTGTAAATGCTTCATTTGTATAACCAGTTTATTAGTTGCAAGTGCTTAGGTCACAAAGGCCCTGACATACGAACTGATGTCTCCCACTTGGATTAGATGTTTCCAGCGGCATAGCTGTAGAGACTGAACAAAGTGTTTGTTATGTCTATGACCACCTTTGTTTAAGCATGTTGGGAGAGCAAGGACACGGTCAAAGAACTGACGTGTCTTACATGGAAAAGATGTTCCCAGTACCCTGGCTATAGATACTCAACAAGATGGTCAAAGGTTTCTGTTGACGCCACCGATATCTAAATTTAGGTATAAGAACTGCCTCGATGTGTTGGGAAGAAAAGGAGGTTCTTGACAGTCTACTGACCACGTAGCTGTTGTGACCCTTTTTCCCTTGCAAGGAAATAAACGGAGAAAAGACATACTTGACTCAGAGCCTTTGATTCTTACTTAACGATTGTCTGTGCAAAATCTTCCACCACAGTACTCAAGGGCACAGTCATTCCAGGGTGGGAGGAAGAGGGAACACTGTAAATAAGTGCAGAGGGAAGGCGGAGAAAGGCGGGGAGAGGAAAGCGTAGAGACAATGTAAATTAAGCAGCCGTAAAAGTTAATAATTAACCGTCTGCAGTCGTGCCAAACACATGTCTACTATGATGCACCACGTTATTCTTTGCTCCTGTGCAAGTGCATCCTTGCTGTATTTCCCCACATGCTAACTGTATTAGACTGAGTGCATCAACCCGCCCAAAGCCCAATTATAACCTCATTTCAAGCCTCATATACTGTAGCAGAAATTGATGAGATTGTGAAAAAAAAAAAAAATCAGAGAAGGGCATCTTTCCTGTCATGAGAAGCCGGATGTCTAAAAAAATGCTTTTCCTGCCTAAAAGGTCCTACTAACCTCAAGCTCATTTGCATGGCAGTGGCAGATTGTGATTACTATTCAAATGTAACTCATAAATTATGGAAAGACGAGACACACCCCTTTAATCATACTGAGGTTCTTACTGGGGAAAATGTGCGTGTGTGTGTGTGTGAGCACATGTCTCAGGTTTTAATGCTCGACACAGAAGAGATTGGCTGTTGAATGAGACCAGATGCGCTCGTCTACCTTCTCTCTTGTGCCTCCATAATGGACAATTATTAAAGAGTCATGGTTTTCTGCCGGTGAGAACGACAAGGCCTCGTAGAGGTTTACGAGGTTAAACCAACCAGATGAGACCTCTGTCTGCAGCTCATGGAGTGAACATAGACTTATGATGTAGTTTTACTCTCCATTCAACATTTCAGCTCACGGATATACTATTATACAAATAATAGCAACGTATTTATAGCATATCAATGGCTTCCTCGCGAGTATTGTTTTGACCTGGAAACATGATGAACTGCTGAATGAGATGGTAATTCTTTGTGGCCTCAACAAACCCTTTCACATACTAATCCATATTTTATGGTAAAATAAACATATTGCTTATAGTGCAGCAAAAGAAGCTGCAAAAATAACATTCAAAAATGTTTGGCAAACAGCTGACTCTATATACACATCACGCACACAAGCAGCAGCACTAGCAATGTGAAGGAGTCCAATGTTCACACTTTTTTTTTTGTGCCTTTTATTAACTGACAATGGAAATAGTTGGTTCGTTAGCTGCTGAATGCTTCTAAATGCTGCTGTATGTATGTATGTTCACCAGCTGGTCACTAATTTAATGATGAGACTGAATCAAGAGGTAATAGCGTAGTTAAAAAGACAGTCATGCACAGTAGAGCTGAAGGTAACAGCAAAATACGTCCACTAATACTAATTATCTGCTTCACTTTATATTTGAACCATTGTTGGTGAAAGACCAGCTTTAACTTCTGCTTTCTTTTTGTTCTGCATACTTTTATTTTTTCACGCCTGTAGAAAAAATGTTGAATAACTTTTGAAAGCACTATGTGGTGGATATGGTCCATCTGGTTTGTGTGTCTTGTGCAAGATTCCACCAGAAAGAAATATAGACACTTCTTCTTCCTCACGTTCCACCAACTTAAACATGTGCGTCATAAAATGTGTACATCGTGTGCACACGCTGCCTCCATCTACTGCCCGATTCCCCCAGCGCGCTCCCAACTCTGCCTCAGCGTGCAAACATAAGCTTCCAGCATGATCCGAAAACGCGCTCCGTGGCCCGTGTCTAACGAGGGCAGGACCAGTGGGAGACCGTACTCAAGGGCACAGTCATTCCAGGGTGGGAGGAAGAGGGAACACTGTAAATAAAACGCGCTCCGTGGCCCGTGTCTAACGAGGGCAGGACCAGTGGGAGACCGTACTCAAGGACACAGTCATTCCAGGGCGAGGCGCGATCCCCAACCTGAACGGCGGCATCCCTGTTAAGCACTCCGGCGTGAACGTGTGACGAAAGCCAAAAAAGAGAACGAGAGAGAGAGAGAGAGCTGTGATCACTGTTCAGAGAAAGATGACCACGGCTGGATGGTCTCATCCAGCGCTGGATATCAGAAGGCAAACATTTGGCTACTTGACTGACCCATAAGCAGTTGTGAAACTGAGTTGTTAGAAGAAAACAACAACGACAACAACAGCAGTGTGGGAATAGTGGACTGGGAAGCGAGCAAAGGATCGATTGGTGGAAGTAGATTATGCAATAACACAGGCGGTCCAGTCATGCGCTCCTCCCCCTATTTTCTCTCTTACTTCCTCCCGGTCACCGCTTTTCTTTTCTCTGTCGGCCTGTTGTTGCGTTCTCCATCGCCTTCTTTATCCTTCTTTGACTCCCCTCTAACACCCCCCCACTCCTGTGACCTGCCTGTCTACCTTGGACAACAGCTCACAGCTGCTCCCAAATGTGTCGATCAATAAGCCGTCAGGCCGATCACCACGTCTGACTGGGCCCCAGCAGGCCCCGGTCCACAAATGAACAGCAGTGCTTATCCGTGGCATGCCCTTTCATGATAAGACCGACGCAAACGCTTTTGAAAGGTCTCACAGATGTGAAGTGCAGACACGCGAAAGGGACGTCCTCTTTGTGCGTAAATAAATCCAATAAAATCAGGACGTGACTTAAAAAAGCAATAAAATGCAGTCAAAACCTGTTTATCTCTTTCCATAATTAAGTTTCCATTCTGTGCCATTTTTAGGAGACATGTTTATAGAAATGGCTATTCAAATTTCTCATCAAAAGTAAATGGCTTTCTGAACTTCAGTAGTAGCTCCATCTCCAAAAATAACCCCATGAGAAATCTCTCAATCTGATGCTGACGGTTGTTGTTGCTCGTCTAAATCTGGCAACAACTCTCGCTGTCTACAGAGGAAAAAAAAACAATCAAAGAAGGCCATGGGTAATATTCTAATGCGCCGCATTGAGAGCGAGGCCTTGCAGAGTGCTCGTGGTGGACAGATATGTGGTCAGAAACATGCCGGAGGAGGATTTCTCACTGCTGCGTGTATGCTGAGAGGGTGCAAACTGAAATCCTTGTTACGGGCCTTTATCCACACCGACCGGCTGAGCTCCTCCACCATAAAGCAAATGCCCAATCGTAGCGTAGCAACGGTGACTAGGAGTCATGCACACAGGGCTGCAGTCAAAATATGAAAAAATGGTCCGTGTATCTGTTCTAACCATGTTTAAGGCTCTAATGCTAGCAATAGATTTTAGGAAGTTGTCCAAGAGGGTTCTGTGTTTCATAGTTTCTATGTTAATATTGTCGCTATGACATTTTGAATTCTTGTTTGAAACTTGTGCAACACTTATTGGCCTTGTTTGACAAATTACTTTTCATTTCTAAGTATTAAATGTGCAGAAGATGGGAAGCTGGGATGCTTGGCAACAGCATTGATGAGGTCCGGCGCTTAGCGATGAATCCAACTCATCAAACTCTTGATTAATCCTTTGATCCGCCGCAAATGTCTCTCTGTTCACCTCCTTCCTTTTCGATTCCGGTGTGTTGGAGACGCAGTGAGCCACACAGACTCATTAATGCTGAACCGTTTTGACCTGATGCATTATGGATGGAGGAAATAGAATGCTGAATATAATGCCAATCAAACAGCGTGGGTAAAAAGCTGGTGGCTCAAACGGGATCATTGTTACCCGCTATGAATGAAGCGCTCTGACCGGAGGCCCCGACTGCCCGTATCCTCAGCGCGCAGCAGGAATGCAGGCGAGCCTGCGGCGGAGCTCGCGGCACTAATGACACTAAACATTTCAAATGACACAAACTTCCTGTTTAGGTGAACGTCCTTGCTTCCTCATTTCTGTCGCCGCGCTTGTCAGAAATCTTTCCTTAAGTCGGATCCCTTCGCTCAACACATTTAAACCCGCAGTGAGTCACCTTCCGTGTCTCTGAATTCCCACACACAGCAGCATTTAATCTGACATGTCCCGGTGGAATGAAGCGTCAAACCGTATCAGCATTTGTGGTCCTCCTGCGTCACGGGAGGCTCGGCAGAAAGTTCTCAGAACCCTACTGCCATGTTCACTTCCGTGTGTGGACATTAGTATTCATTGCAATTAGGCTGTTAGCACTCATTCCTCCTTTTAGCTTCTTCTTAGACCTGGGACTTAACCTCTGTTTCTCTTTTCTTTCTCCCCATTCCATTCCATTCCAGGTCATTTAGCTGACGCTTTTATCCAAAGCGACTTATATTACATTACATTCCACTTTGTTCGCTGCTGGAGACGTGTTACAGATCTGCATTTGTACACAAATCCACCGGCGCCGTTGGAGCAGAGCCTCGATGTCGTCACACTGGCTGGCCCCTTCATTTACTGAGGGGAAAACAAATTAACGGGATGTAAAAGATAACCCTGGCGACCGATCCAGACGTCCACGACAACTTTTACAGTGCCAACAAGACACCCCCCCCCCCCCTAATTAAAACCCCCATCACAGAATTTTTAATCTGAGCCACGAAGGCCTCTCCTCTTCGCTAACTTCTCCGTTTCCATCCTGAGCTCTTGGACGTTGACAGTCACAATCCTGATCCCTGATCCAGGTGCCTGGTAGCTTAAGGCCAACTGGACGGTTGCCTCCATCGCAGCACACAAACAGCAGGATCAAACGCCCGCCACCGCCCACAGGTACGGGATCTCATGGGAGCAGGGAGGGGAGGGGGGGCAACACGAGCACCACAGAAAATGTATTGCTGCAGATAAAGTTAATGGTTTCAAAAGACTTTATAGGGGATATTTAGCCTAACGAGAAAGAACGTCCCGCTTTTTCATTTGTCTGCTAATAAAAAGGTAATTTATGCAGCAATTTATTGTTTTATAATTGAAATGCCATTTTCCTTTGATGCTGTTCGGATCCAAGATAGAGTGCAGTGACCACACGCCCGCGTCTATCATCAAGAGATTGTATTACAGCTCTAATGACAAGGTGACTTTAAATCATAGTTTACAACACCAGCACACAATATACACACACACACACTCAGACGCCCAAACACTATCTTCCATATTTTCCCACAGCTGAGGTGGCCTCTACGTGCATGAGGTGTGTCTGTGTGTTTCAGACGTGAATAGCCTGCAGCTGAGGGGGTTAGCAAACAACGCTTTGAAAAAAAATGAATAGTGCCACCAGCTAATACAGCCTCTACTGCCTAGAGTCCCTGCAGTACGCACACGCACACGCACACACACACACACACACACACACACACGCACACGCACACACACACTCCCAGCCACTGCTGCCACAGTGACAGCGCCCGGCAGAGGATCATCCTGTGGTGGGATCCAGGGTTTCTCTTTTGTGATGTGCGCTCCCCTCTTTGTTAACCATCAGCCTCAGCAGGCGACATGCGTGTGTGTGTGCGTGTGTGTCTGTGCAGCACAGCAAACGCCTTCTCAGTGTCTCTGTGGTCTCGTGCACCACCCGCATTTTCATCTCTGTTAACCCAGCAGCCCCCTGCTCCCCCCCCCCCACCCCGGCTGCATTGTGCACTCGATGGGTCGGGTCTCTCTCTGTGACTGACCGGTAAACGGCTCTAAAAAAAGAGGGGAGGCACTAACCTGAGCGGAGGGTCGAGTCCGGTGAGGGAAACGAGGTGGAGTCCAGTGAAGGAATTGAAACCCACTGCTACACTGAAGAGAAAAGATCTCTCTCTCCCTCCCCTGCCCTCCCCTCTCTCTCTCTCTCTCTCTCTCGCTGTGCCGCCCGCACAGTCAGGCTTAGGCTTGTGTTAAACTGCTGGTTGCATCCTTCCTCCTCTCTCTCTCTCTCTCACACACACACACACACAGATGGACCGACCTCCCTCTTGCCTTCTCAGATGCTGTCTGTCTTCTTTCACCGTTTTTCCTCATTCCGTCTCTAAGGCGAAGGGAAGATAATCACATTCCAGCGGAGATGGGGCATATGGCGGGGGGGAGCGGCACACTCCAGCCCCAGAGTAAAGCCCCGTCTGTGTGTGAGTGTGTGTCGCACGGACAATCGGTCCCATTGTGTTTGGGTGAGGGGAGGTTCAGTGACGGAGGGCGGGGGGGAGAAGCCAATGGCCGTACTCATCTGCTGTCCCTGTTGCTGCTGCTGGCTGGAGCAGATAGAGGTGCTGAGCGTGATGCAAAAAAACAACCCCCCTCCATGAAGAGAGGCAAGGGGGAGGGGAGGTGGGGGGGGGGGGGGGGGTTGGGGGGGACACACCCAAAAGACAAGGCATCTGGTGAGACAGATGATGAAGAATTGATGAGTGTGTGTTTATAGAATCTCAGCTGGAGGATGTGCTTTTGAATTCCCTTTTCTCAGGGTTCACAGTGAGTAGCACATCGCAGGTAGTCGGAGAAGTGGAAGTGAAGTCCACCCACTCATTTCCCATGGCAACCAAACAGGGGTTACCATACAAACGGAACCAAATAGGCACATTTGAACACTTGAACACTTTCAAATGTTTGTTAATTTCTGAATTTTACAAAGCTCAAACCACAGGTTAAACTATTTGAAATACAATGCATGAGGCAGTGCAAGTTCCTCCAGATGGCTTCTTATTTGTTTCAAGCACAAAAGCTTCCATGCACGGCAATGACGGTCTGTTTGACAAGAGATTAAATACCTTAATTATCTTAAATATCTTGTGCCATTTCCATGTTCCCCTTAGGATGAACTGTAATAACTTTTGCTCACTTTTCTTAGAGTGCCATCATCTGGACAACAAATTGAATTTGTCCAATACTTATTTTTATGACCAAATACCTTCATAATATGAGAGATTCCCATCACTATCAGCTCAACTTGATGAAATGCTACCATGCTAACTAGACTTAGATGGTGACCATGTAATCGTTACACCCGATAAAGATCGCTTTCAGCGTATTGCCATTGAGAGAGTTGCCATGGTAGCGATATCATTTCTTCGGAAAGCCTCAACTGAGACTCTTTCAGAAGTGTGAACATGGTGAGAAACAGCACTCAGTTGTTACCAAATTGAACCTGTCTGTGAACATGACCTGGGGGCCCCATGAGGGTTACAGTGGCACGCAGAGAGAAGTGTTGCTTTCACAAGTTGTGTGAAGAAACATAATCTCGGTGAAATGTGACGCAGACACAGTTACACAAGGGGCACTGGCCTGAAAAGAGTCTTCATGTCGAGGGTCTTCTCTCCGATTCAGATTGACGCATCATCACGGACTTGACCTCTTTTCCAATTCCATCTCTGTCATTTCACCTATATTTTCATCAAATGTTCTTTTAATCTTTCAACATTAATCCGCCATTTATTAACAAGCTCTTCTAGAAATGATCGTCTTCTCACTTCCCAATTTATAATGTTTTACTGCAGCTTGGAAATTCATGATGGTGCCGGTGATTTTTCATTGTTACCCGGACATTAGTGATTATTAGAACGAAACCCATCCAGACCAGCAGTAACGCAAAGGGACCTGTTCAAAGCAAACACACAAATATTCTCACACATGACCGGATACACACTTGTGAGTCTGTACAGGCCATATTACACGTAATGAGTGTCCCAAAGGCCCAGAGAGTCAATAACTATATCCAGACTTCACCACCAGCAGTGTTTTGTGCGCTGCCTGCATGTCTCTGCAGCGTGTTTAAGCCACATGCAAGATATCACGGGGGAACAGAAATAACTGCATCCTGCAGAGTGCAGAGTTGATGAACTCCGCCGAGGAGTGTTGAAGACAAAGTGTAGTGGGGGGTTCAAGAGGTTAACGAAGAAAAACTTGAGGACGGCATGAATCTAACAACGTGCTGTTGTTTGTTTCTCTGGCTGGAACCAGCAAGGCGGTGTCTTCAAGTCCAAATATGAGAGAATTTCCAAAAATACGGTGTATAAACTGAGGCAACAATAAGCCGTCTCGATCATCAATCAAGTCTGAATCTGCAGAAACTCTCCTCTGTGTCTGTATTCTCTCTTTGCTCCTTATTCTGGGCGTCAGCCCTGTGTGTCCCTGTGCAGCAGAGCGTGCAGCCTGACTACATGCTGTATTAAACCTCTAACCAAAAGTAAGATGTGAGGATGTTACAAGGAACCCTTGAACAGAGTTAGTGTTGCATTTATCCTAATGTACTGTCCCTGTCAGCCTTCCGGCCTAATTGGTGCTAATTCTGTTAAAAAGTTGCATTTATAAAAAGTGAGCCTTTAAAGCTAAAGCTCCAGTAACAATCGCCCGGCGTCAGTTAGGAAAGAAATTTCACCATTGTCTCAAAATGATGCAAAGGAAATAATAGAAATACTAAAACTGGAAGTAGTTTTGATAAGAGCATCCGGCATCTGGGGTGTGGTGAACAGTTTTATATCATGTAAGCAAATAAGGCGATTACTATCTATCTGTCGTATTTATGTCGACAATATATATATATATATATATATATTGGTATGAGAGACGCACGCTATAAACGCACACGCTGCAATGCTTTTCCAACCACAGATCAATCGGCCGTCACACGCTGTGAACGTCAGCTTGCACATGTGTGCAAGCTCTTCCAAAGTCAAGCGCCCTCCCTCCGGTATCTGGTTAGGATTCACAAGTAATGAAACACATCATGTACGATCGCCGCGTCGAGTTTTGTGCACCTTAATTATTTCGGGGATCAAACTCGTCGTCTTCACACTCTGGTGACCGTTGAGGTGTCACATGCCCCGACGTGCAGACACCCTCATGCCTCTGACGGTGTGGATGTAGTGTGTAGTGATAGACAGAGAGGGAGGATTAATCTGTCACTTCAGTGCATTCGCATTAAATGGACCCGCTCAGGCTTGTTAACTGTTGAAGGTGCGATATAATTATACATTTCACTATAATTTAAACTTGTTTATCAAATCAAACTTGAAGTTAAGAGGAGAAGAGAATCATAACTGACAATGAATTCTATTATTTTCAGACAATTATTGCGTTAATTAGAAATGTTCTGGGCAGTGGGTCGTTCATATACACAGATACAATCTACCGTATGATTATTTCTGAAATCATTTCTTTTAGTTTCATGGAGAGCGTTGTCAGACCATCAAGCAAATCAGCAGGAGAACATTAAACCAGAACCAGTCAAGCAAGTTATAAAAAATGACACTATATATACTTTTACACACACAATTCAGGGTTATGTCTATCTCTTTTTATCATTTCTGTATTGGATTTAATAAATTAACTTTAGTTTAACATGTATTTCCTGATGGGGGTGTAGTCAGTTGTGTTGGTGCCGCCTTGATTCTCGCTTTCATGTCTCAACGAGTTAATGGATGATTCTATAAGGAGATACTAATCAACCAATTCTCACCACCTCGCTTATTATTCCTGTATATCTGCACATCACTGTCAATACATCTGAACCCTCTAATATTTCTCAGCTATACGTCAGTAGCAGTGGAAACAAATTCTGTTGGCTTTAATACTAATCCCTGTGCATTGCAAGTGGCCATTTTCAATTTAAGTAAGCCGGCTATGAAGCGCGAAACAACATAATATAATTGCATACATCTGTTTCTGTCCTTTTTCTCCCTTATGCCTCACCACCTTCCTCCCACTCACCACACACAGGCCACCGTGCACTTTTTGTACCTTTTTTTCTAACTACTGTTAGGGATTTAAGCCAGAAGTGCACCCCTAGTCAGGAAATTATAGTACGTGTAATAATGTTTAGTGATAGAATTATAGTTTGTGTGATGTTAGATTAGTTATTACATTAACATGTTAGATGAAGTGAATACAATGTGAATCAAACACAGTATATAGTCTTTTAAAACGTAGAAACACACTACACATTTACATTCTGTTACAATGTGATGTTAAAACCTGGGGACGGATGCCAATTGCCGTTCTTTATGGATTTCTCCCAATTTTATCCCCAAGGAGGGTTTTTTGGGAGTTTTTTCTCCTGTCAGGTAATAAAATGAACAACTTATTGCGAGGCAGCCAACTGAGGCAAATGTCTTGAGAATTGAACCACATGAACTGTCTTAGATCTTATGATGAAGTGTGATGAACGGTGATCATTAATGATGGGTTGTTGTAATGAAAGTGTACTATTATAAGATGAAGACTTAAACGATGTATGCTTTGTTGGGTTCACTCATTGAGGCATAAAGCCACTTTATCTGTATTGAGTGCATTGGAATGTGAGGGACAGCTAGGTCAGAGAGGTTTCAGGTTACGGCTGCAGCTTCACACCTCGACGTGGAAGGGACAATGGAGGAGGTGACCCTTTGGAGAAGAGGCCAATGACATTCAAATGCACCAAAGAAGACACACCTCAAGAGGTTTCAAAGGACCATGGCGGGGAAAAGACTGTTAGATCTTCTCCTGCAGCCGCGTTGATAAGTCACTTTAGACTTGCTCAGAGAATTCTCTATTTCGCGAAATATTCCACTGTTCGCTTAGTATTTCACTTTGTAATTGTAATCCCTATTACGTTGTTCAGTTATTAAATAACTTTTGATTTTTGAATTTAAACGAATTGACTCATTCGTGTCCTCGTTTCCGGCCGGGACGAGAACAAAGGATTGAGTCCTCCCTCGAGAGCTTCCGAAACCTTAACAGTTGGCGCCCAACGTGGGGCTCTCGTTGGGGGAAGGCGTTGCTGAGAGGTTTGACTGCAAGTACCACGGGTACAAACAAGGTAAAACCACCTTTTTCATGAATTCTGTGATAGGTAGGTTTAGGAAGATTTAGAGTGGTGCTGGCAGTCGGCCATGAGGCAAGGCCTTAGATGCTAAATACTAAAGGCTAGTACATTAATGACTTGGGTGAATATAATAAGCTGATATTGAATAACAGTGGGGGCATACTTTTGCAAAGTGAATGCGAATGGGAGCCGGCTTTTAGAAATCCCAAACACGCGCGTTTGGTGCGTTCAGGTACACACTTAGAGCGTTAGAAAAATCCAGGCGGCGAACTGGTCTGCTGAGACATAAAGACCAGCAGGATAAAACCA